GCATCGGACCGTCTTACGTCAAATAGCGTCGAATTAGCATCGATATATTGCATCAAATTAGCGTCGAATTAGCGTCGAACTCGGTTTAGCGTCGACAGATTAGCGTCGAATGACATTTCGACGCTAAGTCGATGCTAAAGGACTTTAGCATCGATTTAGCATCGAATTTTGCCGACGCTAAAACTGTGTTCTCTTGTAGTGTGATGGTCAGTTTATCCGAAACGAGGTTGTACTCAAATATCTGAAATCAAATATTTAATCTGAAGTTTTTAGCATTTGGTTTAGAAATGTAAGGAAGGACAATCATAATAACTTGCCATAAGCCATGCTAGAACGCCATCATTGAAGTAGATGCAAAAGACTGAAAACAGGCCGTACAGAGCCAATCCAAAGGAAATGAACAGAACTTGATATTTCTACGGACAAACAGGCCGTACATTTTCCATCCCCGAACACAATATTTTCTGATTTGCAAATCAATTGTCAAATGGTAGGCGAGTAAATGTGGAGTACATCTAGATTTTGGTCGAAGATGTCGAATTCGAGAAAATCAGTTTAAAAAAAAAAAACAATTTCAATTCCAAAATCTGAGATTTACATTACTGAAAATTATGGGCCGTTGAGATTCCTATAAATCGATCATACACTTGTATTTGTTAAGAAGGAAACGAAATTTCGACATCAATTTGGATTATACTCGATCAACATCATGTATGAGGTCAGAGTTGTAGAGATGGCTTCCATGATAACTTCTCAACCACAAGGAAGGTGAATCGTTTGGCGACATGGAATGGACTGAGGATGAGTTCTAGAACCCTAAGCGTCGAAGCAGAGGAGTCGCGAGAATTTTTTTTTTTCCAAAGAATTGACTGCGATTTTTTAAGCAGAATGGACACGTGTCGAGTAAAGAGGCCAGCCATATGTCACCCTAGGACAGTGCTGGCCTTTTATTATATTATAGACTAGAGAGTCCGCAATAGGTGTTGATTTTGTCTTTTCCGAATGTTATAAAATTGTGATTTAACAATTTTGTAAAAGTTGATGCAGCAGACTAATATATCCTTTGTTAAATGCTGCATGTTGTTAACAATATTGGAAACCATTCGAAAAGAGAGATATAACAACATTTAGAAAAAAATATATGACGATGGATTCGAGAGTTTCCAATCAAATAAAAATAATGTGATTAATCATGACTAAATTAGTTATCATTAATTGTTTGAACAACTATGAGAATGCTAATGATATTACTATATTGTAATATTCGAATGTTTGAATCTTGATAATATTTTAATGTATAACACGGTTTTTAAATCTTCCAAAAATATATAATTCTTTGATGCTAAATGGAAGCTATAATTGGTGGTTAGTGAAAATAGAAGAGTAAGTAAAGTAATTAGAACTATTGTCTTAGCAAAAAACTTTCACTTGAAAAACAAGAAAACCAAGATCATAATATATCTACATAAATTTTAAATGTATTGTGAATTTTTGATTTAAATATGAGTTTTACCCAAGAAAACCAAGATCACGAATCTAAAAAAACCAACATGTCTGTTAAAAGTTGCTGAAGCGCTATGAAAATATGTCAGTAAATATTACAGATTTAAAAAAGTCTCTTACGTTATTTTTTAAAATGTCTCTTGATCTAAAAGTTCTTAAATACCATTTTCTGACAATCGGTACATAAACAAATTAGAAGTACAATTATATAATTTTATTATTCCCACCGTAAAATCAATAAAAAAGAACCTAAAAAACTATGTTTTTCCGTATCTTGGAGGATATTTTTTTTGGTTTCTTTGAAATTCTCTTTCTCTGTAGACAAAATGGCCATAGTCTTTCTAAAGCAAGAGGCTTACCGTACAAAACAAAGTTACTAAGACTCCTTTAAGCTAAAATCATGTTTCATTCTGGTTTCAAATAGAAGCTAAATCCCACCTTGAACAAATTGATCCATTAACGAAAGCAATTATAAAAAAATGTTTTCTTGTCCTACCATGAGTTAACATACGGGGATATTTTAATAAGGTGCTTACTAAGACTTGTTCTTCTACTAACAACTTCATGCCCTCCAAATCCTTCCTCTCCAATGCCGACAATCCCCAAACTCATAAACTAATAAAAATCCTCTTCTTTTAATGATAAAATAATACTACTTTTTAAATTTTTGATCTTCACCACCTAATAAAACTTCTCTTCTTGAGCATGTCTTAAAATCCCGATATTTACAGAAACAATCATTGAACACGACTAAAATCGTATAGTACAAAAGTCCTAAATACTTCACAGAACCTTCTCTGGCACATTCATTCAATATTCTCTTTACATTAGCGAGTCAAACTCTGTTTCGCGAGTTTCCTTACGACACAAGAAAGAACACGCTATGTGTAACTTAAGAGACAATAGAAAGATGACAGAGAAGGGTATTCTGTATGATACAATACTTGCTCGTAGCTTTAGCAAAAACGACCAGAAGGGACTTGGTTATCGAGCTTTCATTGCTTTTTTCTCTGTCACTCTTTTTTTTTTTTAGAAATCCGTCCTCACCTTTGTTGATTCTTTTCTTCCTCACTTTTCTCTTGAATAAGATTAGGATCTAGATTTTTTTATCTTGGTTGATTTTTTTCTCCTCACTTTTCTCTTGAATAAGATTTTTTCAACATCTCCACAACTCTGAAACAAACCAGGAAGCTGCTTCTAGTGACCTATAACACCTTAAAACACACAGAGAGACAAAAAGTCATGAACCTATAAGTCCGAGAACAAACATGATTGAGAACATGATTA